GGGGGTTATTTTGTGTGGATGTTTTTATTTTATTGGGGAAAAAAACCTGAAAGTCACAAAAACAGCAAAACCACGCGAGATTTCTAAAATGAAAAAAAAAATCACAGATTAAAAAATAGAGATGTAGATGTAGATTCTAGATCTGTCTATTATTTTTACTGGGCGGTTTTTCCCCTAACCTCGTAACTCCCCCATGGCAATGGATCTGAGTAAGTGAACACTGAACTGACTGTACTGAACTCTAGTACATTACACATCGTGTACTTCCCAGTCAATGACCCCAGAGCCCAGACACGAGCCACTCACGTAAACAATGTCGATCATAATACCCGTACATGGAACGCGAATCGGGACGCTCGTTACCGGTTACAAGTGGCTCAATCAAGTGACGAGTGCTCTGGGGAAGCGGGCAGACCTGTTACTAACAGTACAGCCCGATTTAGTTCACTATCGGGGGCGGTTAGTGGTTGGCAGGCGCTCTGTTGTGGTTTGCTCCTCCTTTCCTGATAAACATCTTCATCTATGGTCATTACTACCTCTGCTAACACTTCGTACCTTCGACCCTTATATGACGTAATTGTGTTGCCGCAAGACTCTCGCTAAAACTTTTTTTTTCAAATTCTTTCACTTTCGATCTATTCAAACTATTTTTAAAAAACACACACATATATCTCTTTTTTTTCTTCTTACCTGCATCATTTTCTGGAAATGCACCAATGCCAACACAAAAAGCGAACAGAACCGAAAAAAAAAAAATCACCGGTGCCCTTTCCTGGAAAGTAAAAGTCGACGCCGAAAAGAAAAACAGCAAGTGTCCTATCTGATCTATAAGTCCTCACCGGCACGCGACAAAGAGTGAACTTTCAGACTCGTGCCAACTACCTGAACTAATAATAATTATTATCTTCGTCGACAACTTTCTCTTCCCGCTATGACTGTAGCAGCAGCAGCAGCGCTTTACATACACCACAGCCTCACTCAGCACTAAGTGCACACACACACAATAACAGTAATACCACAGCAACGCAGTGAAACTTTTAACTTAACTAGAGAAACAAAAACGGTGTCGTTCGTTCGTTCGTTTCGCTCGTCATTCCATTGACTGACCTATTGGCGGAGCGGCGGTGGCTTATCGGGGGACGTAGCAGCTGGACTTTGGACCCATCCAGTGCCCGATTTGTGCAGCAGGCGGCAGGCTGGCAGATAACAACAGACGACACAACACCCCCCC